ATCTATGTCGTAACACACCTCAAACAACACATTATAAACACACATGAAAAGAGAGGTGAAGGTAGAGAAGAATCATAGGGAAGGGAAAACACTAGTGGAATTGATCAAAGAGGTCATAGCCTTATTGGTAATGTTTTAATTTTTTATAGAAGAATGTAGTGCTGTGTTACTTGAGTAATTAAAGGGACTCAACGACCAGAACAAGAACAGCTATTAGCATTAGCATGGATGTCTGCTACCACTGTATCCCTCTGGTTCTTGCAGAATGTTAATATACAATTTCTTAAGGAGAATAAATAATTTGGGAACCCTACATAATCAAATATTGAACAGATGGTGCCAAATGTTCTGTTTGTAACCACTACTTTTTCAGTATAACAGAAGCTTGCTTCAGTGGGTTATAATGTATAATTATTTATTCATGTTAAATATTAAACTGAGAGACTTGCAGTTTGAGAAGAAATTGGCTAGCAAGTTTTGAAATGAATTTTAGAGAATGTTTATTTTTAGGGCAATGGGAAAACTTTCAAAGAGTAAATTCTACTAGAGTGTAAATTAAATAAGATGATTAGCAAAATACCTTCTCAAGACTATAAATACTAATCAAGTAAATTATAGTGGAAAGGATTATTGGATCATTTTGTAGATTATAAAATATTGAAAAGCATTTTAGAATTCTAAAGATAGGAAAAAAATCACGTTAATGAAAATTTGAATGTTTAACATTTTTCTTTCTAAAGCCATATCAAGGAGAATTATGCTACTAAATCTGTTTTCACTCTTCACTTATGACACCAAATATATTCAACTATAGTATAAGAAAAACCACATCCTTAAAAGTATTTCATTTCTGTCCAGTTTCATCTGTGGCTGTTTATGATGATGTCTCTCTCATTCTAAAGACTTTCTAAATTATCCCCAGTTTCTGAGAGGAGATCAACTTTCTAGTTGTCCAAGAACCACACAGGCCCTAACCCTTTCCATACCTGCAATTAGGTATGTGTATTCAGATTAGCAAAAGGCCCCTCTCCCCTCCACTCTCCAAACTCTGCTGGAGCAGGGGCCAGACAGTGCTGAACAGTCCATACTGTTTTATTTTTCTTTGATCAGCACCTAGCATTGTGCCTGGACACTGTGGATGCTCCATAAATGAATACTCAAACTAATGTGATTAAGGTAACTAATTAGTGAATAATTAATACATGAATAAAGAATAAGGATAATATTACAATACAATTAAAGGTCCATCAATGCCTACATAGCCTTGTATGTTCTAAATAAAACATTTCAACTATATTACAACATTTGTATAACCATTTTACTTCAAATATATTCACTACAAATACTGTTACAGATTATAGTATCCAAATAATAAAAGCATGTCATTATCAGGATGATGTCTTCATGTAGAAAAACAGTTATTTTTAGAATACCTAGTATTTTCCTGGTACTAAGCTGGTTGCAGTGCACAAGTGGTTCTTTACTTCATAGTACCAGATCACTAGCTGGCATTTATAGAACTATACTTCATTTCTTTGAAAGGCACTGAATAATTCTTGACCACTTCCCCACCCTACAAGTCTTGGTGAAGGAATGTAATTGACTCTTCAACAATTGTGTTTTGGCTAATATATTTTAAATAGATTTAGTTAGCATAAGAGTGGTCATTTCCCCCATGCCTATATCCTTTTTTCTGACTGGTATCTTTTCTCTATTTCTTCTCTCTTCTTGGTGTCATACATAGCAAGTTAAACTCAGCTTTCCTGGGTGAGTCTCTCTCAGCTCCCACTCCTGACTTTGAAGAGAGGTGGGAAAACTGGCTCTTGGCCCCTGACTGTCTTCTCATTGCTGCCCTAAATATGAAGTAAATGTGATCCACTCTTTGTATCACACAGATCTAATTATCCCTGATATTGCATTCTTCAGGATTCACTTTTATCTCTCTGAATGTTTCATCTCTTGGCAAACATCAACCACATTTCCTATTATGAGAAAGGAAGCATAGTGATTGCCGGCAGAGATCTGGAGTCACACCACCTGGGTTTGAAGCCTGATCCTATCACTTCTTGTGATTAAGGCAGTGTAGTGTCCTCATTAGTAGAGTGGGAGGAATAATAATAACAATCCATGTTATTAGGATTAAATGAGTTGAGACCTATTGAACAGTCACCAGCACATAGAAAGTATTTTATAATTGCAGTATTATCATTATTATCCTTGGTAATACTATTATGCAAATTGTTACCCACTGACTTACAACTTCTGGCCATTCTGGCATTCACACAGCGCTCAACTTTGAACCAGTCCATCACACAACTCTGTTCCCTCTAAGATTTCAAACCTGGTATTTGTTTCCAACTGTAAAAGCCCTTCTACTCATCTTTGTCATCCCTGAAAATTCCCAGAATCTTCTCTCTATTCCCTTGCCTTCAATCACCAAATCTCTCCCAATTTATCCAAACATTAGCAACTTAGCTTCCCAACCTTTAACTCATACAATTCTCTAATATGGCTCTTCAATAAGAAAAAACTCTTATCTGGGCATTTAATGAGAAAATTTAAATGTCTCATATGCATATATTTTACCTTCTGAACTCTATTGTAAACTCATTGGAGGTAAAAAACATCACCAATAGAAGCTGACAACATGCTAGATATTCTTTTGAATGGCATATATGGAGTAACTCATTTAATATTTATAGCAAGCCTAAAAAAGTATCCACTATTGTTATCTTGATATTATATCTAAGGAAGAGGGAGGTAAAGAGTACCTTTGGCATAAATCTAAATATACCTTTAAATATATACCCCTTAGGTCTATAATAATTGCTAAGTGAATCAATTTACTAATAGAATATTATTACTTTCCTCTAGTCTGATGAATGATTTAAATACCGCCTCAAAAGGGTGTTTCAATCCAATGAAGGATTCTCTTCATTGTTCAAGTTCTATACATGAACTTTATGAAGTAAATTCCAAGAATTAAGTAGCATATACCATCTATTTGCATCTTTGACTTATAGACACTGCAATTTAAAATAACCTATTATTAAAATTTTTTTAATTGTAGGTGAACACACAGTATCTTTATCATTATGTGGTGCTGAGAATGGAACCCAGTGCCTCACATGTGAAAGGCAAGTGCTTTACCTATTTTTAAACTAAGAATCAGCTACTAACTAGTTGTGAAATTTCCAAATCTCAGATTTATGTCTTTAAGATTTTCTTATCTATAAAAAGGAGGTAGGCTAGAATAAACTGGACTTTGGGGGATCCTAAATGGGTCATTCAATTATGAAATTAAACTATTCTAAGTAGACTATAAGCATGAAAAAAATCATAATCTACGAGTGAATGTTCATTCAACCAATACCATAGTCAATTAGGAATAGTAAATCCAGTTGCTCAACTGGAGAATGAACTTTTCCATACAAAGAATTTGCATCTGAAACTGACTATATCATATTCACGGGAGAGTTAAGTTTACTCTCACTTGCCTGTGCTTTCAAGCACCCTCTTTTAACAGTGTCTCAATTAATTTAAAATGCAATTAACCTATCCTGAAGCTGATTATGTTCAATATCAGTTAAATGCACTCGTCTTTTATGAAAAATACATTCTGAAAATATATAAAGCAAATACTTTTTAAATTGGTGCATAATTTTAATTTTATAGGAGGATTCATTATGTCATATTTGTACATGCACATCGTTTGATCAGTCTCATTCCCTAGTACCTTTTCTTTCCCTTCCCTTCTCCCTCCCCTGATGTACTTTCTCTACTTTACTGATCTCCCTTTTATTATTATTATTATTATTATTATTATTATTATTGCATTTAATCACAGACACATATAGACATACATGACTGATTGTGGCATATTTGTACATGGATAGAGCATTACCAAAGTAAATAGTTTTATGAAGAACTTTAAATTTTCACTTAAAGTCTCCTTAAGTGAAAATTTTCTACTCCCCTCTGCTTATAAATAAACGCCTTTTAAATTAGAAAACTTCAGAAACAGTAAACAAAAGAGCAGACATTCAAACTTTGATTCATTGTACATTGTTCATATGATCTTAGTAGTCCTCTCAACTTGTTATAAATTATACTTATTCCATATATTACAACATGAAATGATCTTTAAATACATTTTTATTTCAAACATGAATTGTTTGGCTGCTAAAGATTTTAGTGAAGGTAGAAAGAGAAATTCACAATGCTTTCTATGAAAGATGAAGTCTGAAATATACTATTCAAGCCAATCCAAATCATTTGATAACTATGTAATTTAAATAATTTTTAAATGGGTAGCTTTTACTAAAAGCAAAATACTTCTTTAGAAATTAAATTACAATGATGTCCAAAGTTTTCATTTGTTCAAATCAATTTGCTCCTATACTCTTACACAATTAAACATATATTAAACAGAAAGGGAACTGAATTTTATTTGGGATGACCATGTAAACATGCATAAATACACAGTACACAAATATGCATGTAATACAAGGACAACATCATGTACACAGATTGTAAATGCAATATGTATGTATACCTATGTATGTATGTGTGTTAATTTGGAATTGCATTATGTACATTCTATATATTCCTGAATATACACACATATATAAACACACGTAATTTCAACAACAACCATTGTCAATAAAAACTGTAAAGTGCTTTGCATATACAGTAGATGTATTAAAAACACCATTAAAACCAAGCTGTCCTGAAAACTAGTTATTAAACAATAGTAGCACTGGCCTCAAGATTATGATGACTCATGTCTTCTATTGAAAGTGTTAATCAAAGAGTATGAAATTATAATATCCAATCACATTCACTATTGAGTATTATAGTAAAAATGTATTATTGAAATATCATCATATATTTTAAGATGTATAAAAATATCACTATTTCTTAGAAGCAAGGGATAATTACAAAGATGGTCTCCACTGACAATTAAGTCAATAATAAAGAATCAGGAAAAAGAAGCCTACCTTCCATTGCCCTTTTAAAGAAGACCTTGCAGCTCCCACAGGTAAGGACACCATAATGGCAACCTGATGCTTCATCCCCACAGATTAAACAAATCTTCTGAGGTAGTGATTCAAAGTTGTACTGTGGGCTCTGGCTTGCTTCTGAATCTGGCCTTGAAATGCAAAACAAAATACTCCATTTATTTTTTGTTGTACTGCTATCTGATACTAAATGTTTTTAAAACCAGTATTGATGAGGTTAAAGGGGATTTTAAAATATAACACCATTATACACACTTGAAAGACATGCAAACTAAACATGATATAATAGACTCACTATAATTAGATTCACTAAACTTGCAAATTATTGACCATTCATCAGTAGTACCAACCTCAAAGAATGACAGTGTATCAATTTATGTTTAGGAAAGCTAAACTCTATTAGTTAAACAGAAATCTTTCTACAGAACTCCTTTTCTATATAAGGAGCAATTTAGTTTCTGACAAAATAAAATGTTATACCCTTCCTGTATGCTGTGTAACAATAAACATGTTTGACTTTAAGTGTTCAACAGAACTTAGCAATGCTTTTGCTTAAAGTTTTGAAAACTTAACTCTGTAAGTGTGTGTATACATGTGTGAGCCAGCAAACACACAGACACAAGTATTGTTCAAGATATTCACACTGTTTTGCTTATTTGCAGCAGGAAAGTCTACAAACCAAGGATTCTTTTTCTTTTACCTTCCATTACTTCAGTATATATATAAAAATGTTCTTGAAAACATAGTAGAGAATCCGAAACACTATTAGAGTATTGTGCACTGTAGTGATTGACATATAAATACAGAATTAAAACATTACGCTTATAATTAATTTTCATTTTGAGATTCATATGAAATCCCTAACGTGTTTCTGCTTTGGGTTCTGGCCAGCCACTCTTCAAGTCCCACCCCTCCCAGGGAAACTGCCTTAGCTCTTCTCCAGTAAACACAATGCCAGTAATGGTCCTTCTTCCCCCCAAATGGCATATTCTGCGCCCCTTTGTGTCCCCAAAAGAGTAATGAGAAGAGTAAGGCAAACTGCCCTAGTGCCAGGTCCCTGTTGCCCACCCCCTCGAGACCACCCAGGGGGAAGGGAGCCCTATGCTGCCGGAGGGAGGCTGGCAGTCTTAGGCCACCAAGAGAGCTAGTTTGCGAACACGCCAGGCGCACCCAGAGCAAGGCCCTCACCTCAGGTAGTTGAGATACGGTGGGTAGACCTGCGGCAGGCCTTCCTTAAGCACAGTGGTCTGGTAGCCGAGCTGCGGCAGCCCATTGAGGCCCAGCGGAGGGTAGAGCGCAGGTGGCGGCCCGGTGGCGGTAGCAGAGGCGGAGGTGGAGGACAAGCCCTCTCTTGGGAGTAGGCAGGCGCCAGCGGCTGGAGGCTTACAGGGCAATGGCGCAAATGGGCCCTGCTGGGGCGGCGCGCCCTCTGCTTTATACAGGATGCACTCCAGGGTCGACCCCGAGGAGGACGCGGACGAGACTGTGGCACTGGAGGATGTGCCCACCACCGCGGCTTCCCCGGGTTTGGATGAGGGAGCTCGCGGCGGCGGCGCCAGTGGGAAATCCGGGAAGGTGGCAGAGTTGGCACTGGCCACTAGGTACCGACGCGGGGAGCGCACTGCGGCCTCCGCGCCTTCCTCTTCCTCCTTGATCTTCAGGGCTGGAGGCTGGAAGTCGCCATAGAGAGGGAATGTGTCATCTTTGGGTTCGGAGTCCGGCGGGTATGTGCAGTCAGGGAAGTCACCGCAAGGAACCGGAGTGGACGAGGCCGAGAGCGAGTCCCGCGGCGGGGCAAAGGCACTGGGGGCTGCGGCCCCGCTGTCGTAACTCTCCCCTTCCAGCAGCTGCCGGGTTCGGGCGGCCAGGATGGCATGGTTGAGGGGCAGGATAGGCACGTGGATAAAATCCACCACTGTGGTGGCCAGCGGGGAGCGCCCGGGCGTCACCGGCGCATCTTGCTCTGCCAAGGCGACTCTAGGCGCTGAAAAGCGGGAATCTTCCTTCGGAACAAGGGTGACGCCTCCTGCAGCCGCTCCAGGAGCGCTGGCTGCGACTCCTCCTCCGGCCGCTGTGCCTCCCAGAACCCGAGGTTTGCCCTTCAGAAGTGGACCGGTGGAGCTCTCGGACTCGGGGCCATCCTCCTCCACCACCTCCGCCGCAGCAGCTAGCTGCGGAGAGGGCTTCACTGAGGCCCCGGGCCAATGGGGACTTCCAGAGGTCGGGAGCAGCAACTGCCGGGACGGTGACAGGCCCCTAGGCAGCACCTTATGGACTGTTCCTGTCCCAGAGGAGCTGTCTCCAGACTTGCTCTCAGGCCGGCTCATGAGCGGGGCCAATACCCCCTTTGTACCGGAGGCACTACGGGGGTCCTCGGGGAGTTCTGGGCCAAAAAGAAACCAAGGGCTGGTGGCCTCGCAAGTGGGAGGGCTGGCTTGGCTCTGCCCGGGCCCCGAGGGCGCCAGAAGAGTGTCCAAAACACTGTCCAGCAGCCCGCTGTCCTTTTCTGGGACTCTAGAGTTGCAGCTTCCTGTACCCCTTGTGGCTTCAACTCCCAAGTACGCGCCCTCCACCTCTGACGGCGACTGCTGATCCAGCGTCTTCCGGTCTGGGGGATCCTGACCCTGGCACGACCTAGGGTAGAGCAGACCTTCCAGCGAGATGGGTATGGCCGAAACTACAGGCGAAGTGTCTGAGGTCTGGGTTCCCTGGAACAGGCCAGCGTCCGGACGACCCAGCAGGGGGGATTCGACCTCGGTGGGCGAGGGTGCGCCGCCCGCTGCGTGGGGAGCCCGGGGAATCTTTGCCTTCAGCTCAGTCATGACGACCTGAACTCCCCTTTTCTCCACCCCTGTCTTTAGGGAGGAGGGAAAGGGGAAAGAGGAGGGGGTGTCGGTAATATAGGGGCAGAGGGAGGAGAAAACGGGTGTCAATTTGGCTGGATTGGGGTGAGGGGGATCTCCACCTCTTGAGTCTGGAGGGGCGGCGCTGGTCAGCTCCTGCCCTGGCCTTCCATCCTGTGGTCAGTCAGAGGAAGGGTGGCGGTCGTTTCGTTCCTGCAGCAAGTGAGGAGGGCAGGAAAAGGTAGTTTGTCTCCTAGTTGGGAGAGTTTTCCAAGAGAGTTCTCTGACTTCTGTTCGAGGACGGGAGATGCAGAGTAACGCATAAGTCCATTATTGGAGAGGCTGCAGCTGAGAAAGCAATTCAATTACACAAGATTCTGTCTTTCAACTATCCCTGATTGCGTTGTACTGCCCTTCTCTCTAAAACTCCAGGGCTACATACATAGACTTTTCAGTACAGCGCATCTCAGACATGCTTCTGCCGGTTCCCTACTGCACACGACTGTCCTCTCTAAGGCTGTCTCTGTTCTCAGCGGTGCGGGAGGACAAGCCGCCTTTCGTTGCAGATTCCACTCAATGCCAAATGAAGCTAGTTCTCATTGCGAATGCTATCCACATACCAGAATCCTCACACTCAACTACTACCAAGGCTTTAACCCAATGACAGGTGTAGGCTGGCTCCAAGTCTTCCTAACAACGCCTCCTTGGTCTAGTGAAGCCCGCCCAAAGCCCCTCCCTACCCAATTCCCTACCAGATTTGAAACTCTGAAGTTGGTATTTACACCCACTAGATTGAATTCCTCCGTGAATAACAGGTGCTTTGGGATGGAACCTCATAAGCATATTAGATTTTGCACCACCAATTAAGAATTATGCCAATGTAATTGGAAAAACGGATAGAGTCTGTTAGAAATAAAATTTTGAGGACCATTTCAGGATTTCAAGTTTTGTGAAGAATTAACATAATTTGGGAGTGGAAGATAATTAGTAACTTTTCTCTACCTGTTCAGGAAGTTCAGATGTTGATTGCCATATATGGGTTGTTCTAAGAAATGTGTTCCAGTTTTTAATAAATATCAATTTAAGGAAAGTTTTCTTTGGTTTTAGCTGATACTCCTCTACTACGTTATGAGATCAATGTAGAGATGGTGAACAGTGCTTTCTTGCCTCAATATTCTTATTCTTAAAAATAATTATCTTTGGAACTTTAAAAATAGATCTCTGTCTGGCGGGGTGGTGCATGCCTATAATCCCAGCTACTTTGGAGGATGAGGCAGGTGGACTGCAAGTTTGATGCCAGCCTCCACAACTTAGTGAGACCCTATCTAAAAGTAAAAAGGGCTAAGAATATAGCTCAGTGGTAGAGTTCCCTGGGTTCCATCATAGTACCACAAAAATAAATAAATAATAAATATATCACCTCTATACTAAAATATATCACCATTAAATTCATGAAGATGCTGTAGAAAGAGGAGAGCGTATTGCAATATATACTTCAGTATATATATATATATATATATATATATATATATATACTTGCAATATATACTTCAGTATATATATATATATATATATATATATATATATATATATTTCAATATATACTTCAATATAAACCAACAATATCTGGTAAACCCAAGGTCATTAGACATCCTGACATCACCTTAAATACATCCTGTTCAAATCAGTTAATCATTTGGAAACTTTCTTTGAGAATGTGGAGGTGCTAGCTATGCTAATTTCTCAAAGTTTTTCCCACTTAGGTATAGAGAATACAGTGGATGACTCCCAGATTCCAAGATGAATGAAGGTGCTAGAGGTAAGAATACTTGAGGAGGGGCTACCTGAGTGATAAATAAAACTTTATCAAAACCACTGGGTTCTGGACTTGATTGTTCCAGTGATTAGTTACTCTAAATAAAAATTAGTTAACTCAGATAAGTAAAAATTATCTAGGTAAAGAGAAGTCCAGGAAGCAGATACTAGATGTTAACAAGGCACCAAATAGGAAACTATAATACGGCTAATGTAACAGGGCCATAATGGATAGAGCATGGATTAAGTGTGGGAAGGAAGTAGATAAGGCTGGAGAGATGATCTAATTTATTATTATGAACACTCCTGGGTTTTTTTTTCAGACTTTCTTCATTCCAAGCCATCTTAAAATAATTGGCATGCTTTATTGAGATATAATTTAGATATCATACAGTTCACCTACTTAGAGTGTACAATTCAGTGTTTTAACAAACATATTCTTTACCACCATCAGTTTTAGAACACTTATATAACCCTAAAAAGTAATCTCACTCTTTAGTAGTTACCCCCACATTCCGCCTCCCCAAATGTCCTAGCAGCCACTAATCTACATTCTGTCTCTATGGATTGGCCTATTTTGGACATTTCATACAAATAGATTCTTCCATATGTGATATTTTTTACTGATTTATTTAATTAAGTATGTTTTCAAGATTTATCCATATTGTACATGTATTAGTACTTCATAACTTGGTTGTTGTCAATTGATATTCCATTTTGTAAATATACTACATTTTATTTATCCATTTTTAAGTTGTTGGACTTTTTAGTTGTTTTCACTTCTTGGTTATCATGAAAAGTGCTGTTATGAAAAGTCATGTATAAGTTTTTGTGCAAACCTGTTTTCATTTCTCTTGGTTATATACTTAGGACATGAATGGCTGGGTTATATGATAACCCTACGTTTAACATTTTGAGGAACTGCTAGACTGTTTTTCAGAGGTACTAAACATTTTACATTTCCACCTGCAGTTTATGAGAATTTTAACTGCTCCACATCTGTTTTATTATCCCTATGCAACCCCGCCAGTACATGGAGTGGTATCACACTGTGGTTTTAGTTTGTTTTTCCTTAATAGCTAATGCCATAGAATCTGTAGAATTAGTAGAATCTAGACAAAATTGCTAGGTAGTCTTCTAAATGCTTTACATGTGTTAACTTATTTAATCCTTCAACTTCCCGTGGAAATAGGTACTACTATCCCATTACATAATTGGGAAAATTGAGGTACAGAGTTTTCAATATTATTAAAATAGTAAGTAACAGAGCCAGATTTGAACCCAAGCAATCAAATGACGGCCTTCTTATGAATGTAACTTTGAATGCCATATGGCTTGGGTCTTGGTTTCCAGGTTACTGCCATAAAATTAATACTTGGCCTCATTTTTAATCTGACAAACTATATTTGGATTAATTTTGGTTGGTTACAAAAAAGTTCTCTCAAGCATACTGTTTAACTAGGTTGTTTCCATAAGAATGAAAATCTTCAAGTGGGAAAACAATAATAAAGATTCTCAACATGTACTAATACACCATTATTCCATGAAATTTGGTGCTGGGTGATTGGAATTATTGATACAGGAACTCCACAAGTATATGAATCTTTGAATGAAACAAAATCCATCAGTTAGATTCAGGGGATATGGGGCTAACACCAAATATTCCTGAGGATGACTTTTGTTTTGGAGAAGAAAATATAAACTTAAGAATTTTTTCCTATAATTTTAAAAGGGGAGTTTTATTAAGGCCTAATTGTCATGTGATAAGATACATACATTTAAACTGTATAATTTTTAAAGTTTTAGATGTAAATTCTCAGCATGAACAGGAAAACAAATATATCCTTTGCCTCCAAAAGTGTTCTCATGCCAATTTTTATTTATTTATCCATTTATCTATTTGTTTGTTTATCTTTTCATTTTGTGGTACTGGGGATTAAACCCAAGGGTGCTTTACTACACAGAACTACATCCCTAGCCTTTTTTTTTTTTTTTGAAACAGGTCTCACTATGTTGTGGAGAACTGGAACTTGTGATCTTGCTGCCTCAGCTACCTGAGTCCCTGGGATTCCCGATGAGTGCAGTCGCTGGGATAGCAGGTGTGCACCACCATGCCTGGCCATGCCACTTTTCAATCCTGACATACTGCTCTTTCCATTCCTTCTCTCTACTACCCCAGTTACTCCCCCAGCAACCACTAATCTGCTTTGTTACTATATATTAGGTTTTAAAGATTTGTATCTGATTTACTAAACATTATATTAAATAATATAAATCACATCTTAAAGATGTGTTTACTTCAGATTTTTTATTAATAAACTTTTAGAACAGTTTTAGATTTTTTGAAAAATTTGAGCAATAGTACCAGGTGCCCAAATATCTTTGTAGGGTTTCCTGTTATTGGCATCTGTATTAACAAAGCATATGTGTTATAATTAATGAACTAATGTTGGTAAATTGTAATTAATTTACATCCGTAGGATATTCAGATTTCCTTAGTTTTAATTTAAGGTCCATTTTCCTTTCCAGGATCCAATCCAGAACATCACATCTCATTGTCCTCAAGTCTCCTTTTTTTGGCTATAAAAGTTTTTTTTTTTTTTTTTGGACTTTTCCTATATTTCATAACCTTGACAGTCCCGAGAAGTATTATAGAATGACTCTGTAAGTAGTCTGTGGTTCTTTGTTTTGGAGAAGAAAATAAAAAAGTTTAAGTGCCATATTCATTATACCATATTATGGGTATATCCCGTCAATGTGATCTATGACTGTCGGTATTGATCTTAATCACTGGGCTGAAGCAGTGTTTGTCAGGTTACTCCACAGCAGTTATTAATTTTCTCTCCTTTCATACTGTACTCTTTAAAGGAAGTCACAATGAATCACTTAAAAGAGTGTGGGGGAGTAGGTAGCCTTTTCCTCTGGGGTGGAGTAAACTACAAGACTTATTTGGAATTCTGCAAGAAAGATTTATGTTTTCTCCCTGTTTACTGCTTTATTCAGTCTTTTACTTATGCCACTATGGATTCATTTTGTTGCTCAAATTGTTCCAGCTTAGAATATTGGGAGTTCTTATTTGTATCTATAATGGTTTGAACCTTAAATGTCTACCAGAAGTTCATGTGTTGAAGGCTTCATTCCCATCCAGTGGTGTTTTTGAGAGGTGGTGGAAACTTCAGGAGGTGGGGCCCATTGGGAGGAACTAGGTCATTAGTGATGTGCACTTTTCTTCCTGGGTGCCGTGAAGTGAGTAGCTTTGCTCTGCCCCATGCTTTGCACTATGATGTTCTGCCTTGCCACAGAACAATGGAGCCATGAACTGAAACTTCTGA